AAACTGCTAAATTAGGGACGGCTAGCGCAGATAGCCCTCGTGTAGCTTTGCGCGAAATTAAAAAACAAACAAACAAGTGATTTATTGCAAACAAAACTTTCTAAGCCGCAGATTTCTTTTTTTTTTCTGTTTTCCTAACCCTAACTTGAAAAAGTTTCGTCTGATACAGTCATTAAATCAATCTTTCTTTCCTCTCTTATTCCTGAACTCTTTCTTCTACTTACATAGAACCCTTGATCTACTAGTTCCAAGTAGAATTACGTGATCAACAAGAATCTCTCTTATAAAGCCAACAGTTCCGTTACAAATATATTTTTCGTAGCACGTTGTCGGTTTTTTTTTTATACTTGTTTGTTTGCGAAGTTTAGAATTAAAAAAAAAACAGTTGATCAACTTACCTTAGCAGCCAGAACCTTTCATCCAATAGTACGATGATCTAGAACTGGGTTAACCTTTTTTTCTGACCACTAGTTACAACTTCTACGAATAACAAATATTCATATGAAAACAACCTGTTTTTTTTCTTTGATTGGATAAAATCTTCCGGCGACTAGCAAATGAAATTTCGTTGTTGTTGTTGAATTTCGCGCAAAGTTACTCAATGGGCTATCTGCGCTAGCTGGTCCTAATTTAGAAGTGATAGGCTAGAAGGAAGGCAAGCAGTCAATGTCACCCACCAGCGACTCTTGAGCTACTCTTTATTCAACGAAAAGTGAGACTGACCGTCACATTATAACGCCCACACGGCTGAAAGGGTGAACATGTTCGGGGAAAAGAGTATGAAATTTAGTAAGTGTTCAGTTGATTAAGAAGATTCAACCAATAACAAAACTGCGTTCTTGGAGAACATTACTTGCTATTTGCTTAGTGGGTTTGGCAATAACAAGTCCATTTATAAATACCGGATCAACTATATTCTACCATTAAAAGAGAAATTAACATGGTAAAATGTTCGCATGATATTTGTAAGCGTTATTTTTTAGCTATCTAAGAACGTTCACTTTATTCGTGTTGTAGAAAGTTAGTTTTAACTTTCGATCAAGAAGGCCCATTTCACCCCCAACTCGGTGAAGGAAATCTAACTTACCCCCTGAAGAGAGAAGTTCAGTTTACCCTTCATAAAATAGAGTTAAATTTTTGAAAGCACTCAGTTTATTAAAGGTTGTATTTTAACTCTACGTGTCTTGTTTATAAATTTCGGTTCATTGCTATTAACAGTTTTTTTAACTGTACGTGTCAAGTTTATGGATTTCGGTTCATTGCTATCAACAGTTTTTTTAACTCTACGTGTCAAGTTTATGGATTTCGGTTCATTGCTATCAACAGTTTTTTTAAGTCTACGTGTCTTGTTTATAGATTTTGTTTCATTGCTATCAACAGTTTTTTTAACTCTACGTGTCTTGTTTATAGATTTCGGTTCATTGCTATTAACAGTTTTTTTAACTCTACGTGTCTAGTTTATAGATTTCGGTTCATTGCGTAGCTCTACTAAGTTTAATTCACACATCGTATTAACATGTTTTGATCTCTGGTGTATCATGTAGAAAAGCGATAGAACAGCAACAAGAAGACCGCACACCTCGCTTGAGATTAGCCCTAACGATGACATTCAATTAACCAAATCTGCTAACGGAAACTATCTCTCAGTGCATCGTAATCAGTATCTCATGAGAACCAGTTATATATACGTATATTAGATAAGACTAATTCAATTGTTTAAAGACTTAATCCGATTAAGTCTGGAGGATGGAAGATGAACTAAAGATTACTATAGCTAGTGTCTTAGTAGACTATAACTTAAAGGAATATACTAACGACAGTCCAGTTGGGGTGAAGGGATGGGCACAAAATCTTAAGACAAAGTATAAACATTTTTTATCATTTTTAGTAAAAAAACATTTAGAAAAAATACGACCTTTACACTCCAGATATATATTGTTGTGTCAGCGAGGTCACGTGACTAGTATCACGCCACGTCTTTCTCTCGAACCTTCGTGAATTATCGGGAGACTACTAGATTGGGGGTAGTCTGGTATATATAAGATGGTCGCAACGTAACAATGTAATGAGTAATTGAATGTATGCGGACAAAATATTGTTGGCCACGTGAGACGTGAATTATAGTGTTTGTTATAGAGCGACTGTTGAAATTAAGTGTATCGTAAAGTTGTATTCGGAAAGAATAAACCAGTTTTATTTAAGAAAGGACTTGTGTCGCTAAAGTTTCGTCGGAACGGATTTACGGAAAATTAACTAGCGGACGGAGACGTAACAATATATATATAAAATATTTGTTAAAAATATTTCAACCAACGTTTCGCCTTTGCGGCTTCCTCAATGTTAATATATTTTCTTTTGTTTTTCAATGTCATAAAGTACAAGGGACATATACATCCCTGATCTGAAAATACTTTTTCGGTGGTATCACGCTACCTTTGAATGCCAATTTTTACTTTACCCGACGTTTCGGCTTACGTCTTTTTTCAAGGGTCTCTGAACGTCACAGGTTAGAAAACTAATTTTAAATTATGGCAACCGAAAATAATATAAAATTACAACAATATAACAGAACGGTGTACGGAGAAGCGTACTAAAAGTATTGTTGAGAAAAAGCACGCAGTAAGAAAAACGTGGAAAAATAAAGAAATAATGAAGAAAAGTGTTAAAAATTGGGAAAACACACGTCTATGACAATATATATATATATATTTATTTACAACGTTTCGGGCAAAAGCCCTTCGCCAGGCAGTTTAAACCGTGTTACATTGAAAAAAGGCTTAGACAGAATCGTTTAATCTAAGCCTTTTTTCAATATAAAACGGTTTATACTGCCTTTCTAAACGTATTGTGAACAGGTTAGAGTCGCTGGTCACAAAATTTAATGTTAAAAAATCAAAAAATCTTACGCATAAACACAGACCCCCCACAGACTGTAACAATATCAATATTAAATCATTGATCGTTTTGTTTGTTTGTTTTGTAATTAAGCACAAAGCTACAGTATGGGCTATCTGTGCTCTGCCCGCCACGGGTATCGAAACCAGGTTTCTAGCGGTATAAGTCCGCAGACATTCCGCTGTGTCACTGGGGGGGGGGGGCATTTTTAAAACCTGGTTTTAAAAAGAAAAACAGAATTACCTATTACTTTTCGAAGTAAAATTTG